TGACTTAAAGGAATATTCTAAAGATCCTGAAGAGCCGTCACTTAACGAACTGATCTTTGCAGCACTGCAACAAAGTGTTGATCTTCACCAACGGATCATATATCTTGACTGAGCAGAATACTTCATCAACAAATCAAAACTGAGTATATTCTCTCGTGAAGCTTACCCAAATTTAGCGAAGTTCGTGAATAATGTTGTGAAACGATCCAACATCCGTAAATCGTTTTCATTCGGATGAAATGTATGAACGATACCTTTACCGAATAAATACGGCAATTCGGTGCAATGAGTTGCGGCTGAAAAAAAATCAACAATTGCGACTACAAAGGTTCCTGAAAGAACGGAAACTTTGAGAATACTGACTAGTCGCAGCAACTAAATGAAAGTTTCATTTCAAATGGGTGATTGTATATTACAAGAAGCTCGGAATGATAAGAAATCAGAAGTGCATCACATAAATGACTAGAAACTGACCAAGAAATGGGAACCACCACCCCAACAAACCAATAGTTTGTGGACAGTATTGAAAATTGTATAGATAAACAATATGGCCAGCTTGTACCATACGGTCACAAAATTGATGAACACCATTATTGATGAAGATATCACTGAAGAGCTGTAATGAAATTTAGTTATGCCTCGACAAATTTCTCTAGAGAAAACCAATTGCTATCATGGCTAAAAACATTTACCGTAAATCAATAAAAGAGACTCACTCGGATGTACGATTTCATAAGATCATCCTTGCTCTGTCCCTCTTTCACATACAACTTCATAGCTTCGTTCCGTAACTCCTCATAATTCGAGAAGCGCTCCGGCTGAATCGAACTATTTACCATGCGTTTGATCGACTCATAATCATACTGTTTCTTGCCCATTGATGCTACAAGCAGTCATATTGATAGATGTTACTTTCTGGTGATATCTGCAGAAGACATCATTCATTCATTCGTTAGCAATGTATATGCGATAAATCAGAAAACCACTCAAAGTATGACTGTCACATGAAGATACGGTTCAGAGACATGTAGTCATATTTGTATGTGTCGATGAGAACTGTGAAGTTAGTATATGAGGAATGACATTGTGCGATACCAATGAAATGTTAGCTACCGAATAAGAGCGCTTCATATTCGGTAACGCCTGCAATGCACACTCGGCCGAGTGACTTCTTTCTGAGTTCGTCTATTGGTTCAGGTAGAAAGTCACCATCGATGATCGGCACAAAATCCAATCCAAATATATTGTTTTTCTTTTTCGTCTTTGTCAGTATCTTCACCCCAAGCGATGTGCTTGGCTGAATTTTCAGGAAATTCATCATACTCGAATTAATTTCATGATCGGATACTGAAACGTTTACAAAGATTACAAAAACGATTGTTAGTGGGCAGTATCATTTGATTGAAGCAAATCTTCGTATTTTTTTATTCAGAATTTAATAGCATTGGAATTATTTACGTTAAGTATTACAGTGGCAAAGTTTCAAGCTAGTGAAATTCTTTCGAAAATTATGTTAGAACAAATTCACTCACAATCAATAACCATTCAGTTCTAGGTGAATCCAATTAAACGGTTTTGCATATTATCTT